GATTTCAGAAAGATAAATTACTGGCACAATCTTAAACGTGAATTTCAAAGTAAAAGTTGCAGTTTGAAGCAAACAAACCACTTGCTGAACAAAAATAAAATCAAAGCAATGAATCAATAATATTAAAAAAAGAGTAATTGACTAAAAAGATCATTAACATTTACCGAGCAGGAATGCCAACTGAAAAAACCTTCCTTGCCTCTAAAGGAGCAGAACTAGATAGACAGAGAGAAAGAGAGGGGCTAGGTCCAAGATCCTGGTCACAGGAGAAGGGGCCAAGAGACCAGACATATGCTAGTTAGTTCAATCAGCATCAGCCTTACTGTGTAACACATTTCGAGTTAGTGTTTGCAAAGTTCATACCAGAGATGGTTGCCATTTAGCCTGATTTTTCCTCCTTTCCCAGCTCTGTGGGGAGAGGTTTCTCTCACATCCTCACACAAGTTACTTCCCGCTTTCAAATGCAAACTCATTCTCTCGCTTGCACATTTTTCTCACATGCACATGCTCTCTCTCACTCTCACATACACGCAGACAGAGACATGCCCATCAGGCCTGGGTGCCCGTTCTACCATCCATCCCTCTACACACCTACCTGCGAACTTTGAGCCTTTTACCATCCACTGCCCAGCTCTTGTCTCCAGGCCTCATCTTAAAGAAACTGTTCACTGCAGCACTGATTGCTGCTTCTTCAGTCACACAATGATTCTCTCTCACCTTTCTGCTGATCGGTTGACTACTAAGCCCATCAGCAACTAACATGGGAGAGAAATGGCCTGTCATGGTGGAGCAGCTCAATGCAGATCCATCACTTCCACAAACTGTACTTGTCTGTCAATCAGATAGAGATGCATGACAAGCTGGATATTGGTCCCATGTGCTGTGTGCCAGCTGCGTACCAATCATGTTGAATCAATTAATGGCAGTGATCAGAGAGCAGGCCTCTGGTTTAAGGAAGATTTAATCAAATTTTCCTACATAATCTGCCAATATTATCCTACTATTAGTATTCTTCATATGTAATACTAATAATCTTTAGCTTTTAGGCAAGTACAGGTCTATTTAGGTGTAGTGAACCACTTAAGACTGATTGTTATACAGTGGCCACTTAGAAGACATTCCCACACATAATACAGAGAACTTTAATCAGTTGGTAACAAATTCTGTAAAGGAAAGCATCTGAAAAATATAACACTCTTCAGAAACAGCTGCCTGCTGGGGAGCATATGCACGTATAATTAAAGACTAGTTGCGAGATTGGTAACAAACTTATCAATGAGAAAACAGGGGAGTTCTATGGAAAAATGAACTTATTTTGTCAGTTACAGCTGGCATCGATATCATGCTTTAACATTGTAAAGCACCCCAAGACTTCTCACACACAGAGGATATGCAGTTAGGGAGGGCTATAGGACTGGAAGAGGTTGCAGAAATAATGAGGAGCCGCAGTAGGTTAAGAAGATTGGGAGGTTCATAGAATTTGGAGTTCAAAGGGATTTGTAGGGTTTTGCGAGGGATGTAGAAATCAAGAGAGTTAAGACCAAGCTGGGATGTGAAAAGAATAATGAGAATCTTAAATGTGAGGCTTTGCAGAACCAGATGCCAATGTGGATCATTGAGGCCATAGCTGATGGGTGAATGAAATGCTCTAGGATGCAGGGAGCAGTGTTTTGGATGGTCAATTCACCTAACCTACATATCTTTAGGCAGTCAGATAAACTGATGCAATCCAAAGATGATCAGTAGCCATAGCGAATGGAGTCCGAGTGATTGGCAGAAGGATTAGAGGGGATTTGAAGAGCATGTTTTCCAGAGTAGTGCTGCTCAGGAACTCTCACAACCTAAAAAGGAAAAGAAAACCATTTCAACTCCCCCTCCCATTCCTCAGACGACATGTCCATCCTGGGCCTCCTGCAGTGCCACAACAATGCCACCCGAAGGTTGCAGGAACAGCAACTCATATTCCGCTTGGGAACCCTGCAGCCCAATGGTATCAATGTGGATTTCACAAGCTTCAAAATCTCCCCTCCCCCTACCGCATCCCAAAACCAGCCCAGCTCATCCCCGCCTCCCTAACCTGTTCTTCCTCCCACCTATCCCCTCCTCCTACCTCAAGCCACACCCCCATTTCCTACCTACTAACTTCATCCCGCCCCCTTGACCTGTCCATCCTCCCTGGACTGACCTATGTCCTCCCGACCTCCCCACCTACACTCACCTTTACTGGCTCCATCCCCGCCTCTTTGACCTGTCTGTTTCCTCTGCACCTATCTTCTCCTCTATCCATCTTCTATCTGCCTCCCCTTCTCTCCCCATGTATTTCAGAATCCCCTTCCCCTCCCCCATTTCTGATGAAGGGTCTAGGCCCGAAACTTCAGCCTTCCTGCTCCTATGATGCTGCTTGGCCTGCTGTGTTCATCCAGCTCTAGACCTTGTTATCTTAGACAGAAACTCTAATTGGATTAAGAGAAATCTGAATATTCATCTGAAGTACCAAAGTAGCAGAATAAAAGTTGGAAAATGGGATATAGCTCACTGGTTTTGCAAAGTTTCACATTTAAAATTCTCATCTTTGTTTTCCAATCCCATCAAAAACGAAAGTTTTTTTTATGGTTGGCACACAGTACATAAAGATGTGGTCCTAGAAATAGTTAATCTGTTGGTGGCCACCTTTCAAGATTCTATAGATCCTGAAGCAGTTTCTACGGATTGCAGGTCAGCTAATGTAACCTCACAATTTTAAAAAGGAGGTAGAGAGAACACAGTGAGTGAGACACCAGTTAGCCTGACATTGGTAGTAGGGAAAAACCGAAAAAAACTGCGGATACTATAAATCAGGAACAAAAACAAAGTTGCTGAAAAAGCTCAGCAGGTCTGGCAGCATCTGTGAAGGAAAAAACAGAGTTAACGCTTTGGGTCCGGTGACCCTTCCTCAGAACTGGTAGCAGGGAAATGCTGCAGTCTATTGTGAAAGATTTAATAACATACTGTTTGGGAAACAGTGACAGGTTTGGACAGAGTCAACTTGGATTTCTGAAAGGGAAATCATGCTTTACAAATCTACTAGATTTTTTCGAGGATGTAACTAGTAGAGTTGATAAGGGGAAGTCAGTGGATGTGGTTTGTTTGGACATTCAGAAGGCATTCCATAAGGTTCCACATAATGGCTTAGTATGCGAAATATCAGCACATGGAACTGGGGTAGGGTACTGACAAAAGATAGAGAACTGGTTGGCAGAGGAATCAAAGTAGGAATAAATCCTGTGGATTGGAGGCTAGCTAATGTAACTAACCCCACTATTTTAAAAAAACGGAAGTAGAGAGAACAAGGAATTACATATTTGTTAGCCTGGCACCAGGAGTGGGGAAAATGTGAGAGGGTCTTTTTCCGAGTGGCAAGCTGTTCTAGGGGGGGTACCACAGGGGTGAGTGCTAGGACCCCAGCTATTCACAATACATATTAATGTTTTAGATGAGGGAAATAAATGTAACATTTCCAAGCTCACAGATGACACAAAGGAGGGTGGGTGGGTGAATTTGTGAGGAAGATTCGGAGATGCTTTAATGAAATTTGGACAACTTGAGTACGTGGGTAAATACATGGTAGATGAAGTCTAATATGGATAAATGTGAGGTTCTCCACTTTGGTAGCAAAAACAGGAAGGCAGATTATTGGCTGAATGGTGGTAGATTGGAAAAGGGGAGGTGCAATGGGACTGGGTGTCCATGTATATCAGTCGCTGAAGGTAAGAATGCAAGAGAGCAGGTGGTGAAAAAGGCAAGTGGTGTATTAGCTTTCATAGTGAGAGGATTTGAGTACAGCAGCAGGGATGTCTCGCTAGAATTTTTATAGGGCATGAGTGAGACCACACCTGGAGTATTTTGTGCAGTTTTGGTCTCCTTATCTGAGGAAGGATATTCTGGAGGGATTGCAACAAAATTTTACCAGATTGGTTCCGGGGAATGGCAGGACTGGCATATGAAGACACTGAATCAGTTATGACTATACTAACAGGATTCCTGGGATGCAAAGGCTACCCTATGAAGAAAGCTCGAGTACAATGGGCCTCTATCTTTGGTAGTTGAAAAGAATGGAAGATGACCTAATTGAAATGTATAAAATTGTCACAGGTAGAGAGGCTACTCCCTTCCAGCCCTCCACAACTACCTGACATGGGTCAGGAATCTTTAACTAAGTTAAACTTTAACTAATCTAACTAAGGTAACACTCTCAGGATAAGAGACTGAGATGAGAAATATCTTCAAGTTGAGGTTTGAGAATCTTTGGACCTCTCTACCTCAGAGAGCTGTGGATGTTCAGTCAGTGAGGAAATGGACGATTGTGGGTGAGAGACTTTGAACACCAAAGTGATCAGTGTTGGGAGTAGACAGGAAAATTAAGTTGAGGGGTGTCATATGTGTAATTGTAGGGGGAATATGTACCAAGGGTATTGTGAAAGGGATATATACTTCAAGGTGGAGACCATACAAGCTATAGGTGATAGGATGTGTACTTGAAGAGGCAAAACGTGTAGGGGTGTGATCAATTGGATGAGCACCAGAAGGGGTAATTTATGGGGCTGACGTAGTGGAGTGCAACTAATTGGAGACAGTGTGCAAAGTGTTGGCAGAGGGTCAATAAGCTAAAAGGGTTTTCTTCTGTGCTGTATCTTTCTGGGATTCTAAAGCAAAGTATCCCATTTCATTTTTAAAGAGAAAGCAGCGGGAAGGATTAAGCTGTCTGTGAAATAAGATGCTGGATCTTACACTGATTCGGCCTGCATTCGCTAACTGGCTGAGGGACACGGAAGTGGGTGCGTGGTGTTTTAGTTTCTATTCTATCGCAGCGAATGGCCAGAAGGACTTTGTGTCACTTGCACTGTGCATGCACCAATCCCATCAGGGACCCGAACTGAGCGCACGGAAAAAGAAAAAATATTGCTGCCTTTCAGCAAAAACTTTCGGAGTCCGGCAGCTGAAAATTTTTCTGGTCCGTTTCTTTTTGTAAATCGCTAAAAAGAAATGTCGTGTTTTGTGTTTGTGTTTGAATTTTGGGGTCTGGCTGTCAGAGAGGTAGAAGAAATTAATGAGAGATAATACGAACTGCCGATGCTGGAGTCAGAGATAACACAGTGTGGAGCGAGAGGAACACAGCAGGGCCAGGCAGTATCAGAGGAGCAGGTAAGTTCACGTTTCGGGTCAGGATCTTCAGAAATGGGGAGGGGGAAGGGAGCTGGGAAATAAATAGAGAGGAGGGGTAGGGCTGGGGAAGGTAGGTGGGATGGTGATAGGTGAGTGCAGGTGGGGATTGGTCAGTGGGACGGGTGGGGCAGATAGATGGGAGAGAAGATGGACAAGTTGTGTTAGATCAAGAGAGATGGAGGGTTGAACATGGGATGAGGCCGGAGTTAGGGAGATTTTTAAACTGGTGAATTCCACGTTTAGCCCATCGGGCTGTAGGATCCTGAGGTGGAATATGAGGTGTTGCTCCTCCAGTTTGCGGGTGGTGTCATTGTGACACTGGAGGAGGCCCAGGATCGACATGTCACCCAGGGAGTGGGATGGGGAGTTAAAATGGTTGGCGACCAGAAGGTGTTGTCGTTTGTTGTGTACAGAGCGCAGATGCTCTACATAGCGGTCTCCGAGTCTACACTTGGAGAGGAGGACACATCGGGAGCAGCGGGTACAGTAGACCAAGTTGATGGCCGTGCAGGGAAGGTTTGTTTTGTGCTTTGAATAGAGGTGAGGGTGGAGGTGTAGGGGCAGGTGTAACACTTCCTGCGGTTGCTGGGAGAGGTGCCGGGGGTGGTGGGGCTGGTGGCGAGTGTGGAGCAGACGAGGGAGTCAAGGAGAACGAGGTCCCTACGAAAAGCAGATAGCAGTGGGGAGGAAAATATCTCTGGTTGTGGGGTCAGATTTTAGGTGGCAGAAGTGGGGGAGAATGATACATTGAATGTGGAGGTTGGTGGGGTGATATGTGAGGACAAGAGGGATTCTGTCTTTATTTTTGTTCAGGGAGAGGGCAAAAGTGCGGGAAATGCAAGAGATGCAGTTGAAGGCATTTTCAATCACCAGAAGGGGGAAGTTTCGGTGCTTGAACTAGGAGGATGTCTGGGATGTGCGGGAGTAGAACGCCCCATTTGGGAGCAGACGCGGCGGAGGCGGAGGAATTGTGAGTAGAGGATCGCATTGTTGTGGGAGGGTTGGTGACAGAAGGTGTAGTCCAGGTAGCTGTGGGAGTCGGTGGGCTTGAAATAGATGTTAGTTTTGAGGTGGCTACCAGAGATAGAGACAGAGAGGTCCAGGAAGGAGAGAGAGGTATCGGAGATGAATTTGAGGTTGGGGTGAAAGGTGTTAGTAAAGTTAGTAATCTGTCCAAGCTTCTTGAGGTAGCATGAGGCAGCGCCAATACAGTCATCAATGTAGCGGAGGAGGAGGTGGGGAATAGTGCCAGTGTAACAGCGGAAAAGGGACTGTTCCACGTATCCTACACAGAAGCAGGCATAGCTTGGGGCCACCGAGTCTGTAGGAAGTGGGAGGAATTAACGGAGAAGTTGTTAAGGGTAAGAACGAGTTCGGTTAAGCGGATGAGGGTGTTGGTGGAGGGGGACTGGTTGGGCCTGAGGGAGGTGAAGGAGCGGAGGGCTTTTAGACCATTGTGCGGAGGATACAAGTGTACAGGGATTCGATGTCCATAGTAAAGAATAGGTGTTGGGCCAGGGAATTGGAAGTCTTGGAGGAGGTGGAGGCCGTGGGTGGTGTCCCAGAAGTAGGTGGGGAATTCCTGGACCAGGGGGATAAAACAGAGTCAAGATAAACAGAGATGAGTTCAGTGGGGCAGGAGCAGACAGAGACAATGGGTCAGCCGGATTTGTGGATTTTGGGAAGGAGATAGAAACAGATGGTGCGGGGTTGGGAACAATGAGGTGGTAGGCTGTGCATGGGAGGTCACCTGATAATGGTTTGAAGGTGATGGTTTGGTGATTAGGGGTGGGGTCATGATCAAGAGGAGATGTCAGAAAGTTGGTAAGAAACTGACATCTATTTCAAGCCCACCGACTCCCACAGCTACCTGGACTACACCTCCTCTCACCCACCCTCCTGCAAGAATGCGATCCCCTACTCCCAATTCCTCCGCCTCCGCTGCCTTTGCTCCCAAGATGGGGTGTTCCACTCCCACGCATCCCAGATGTCCTTCTATTTCAAGGACCGTAACTTCCCCCCTCGGTGATCGAAAAAGCCCTAAACTGCATCTCTTGCATTTCCCGCACTTCTGCCCTCATATCCCCTCCCCCTAACAAAAATAAAGACAGAATTCCCCTTGTCCTCACATATCACCCCACCAACCTCTGCATCCAATGTATCATTTTCCACCACTTACAATCCAACCACACAACCAAAGAGATATTTCCCTCCCCAGCCCTATCTGCCTTTCATAGGGACTACTCTCTCTGTGACTCCCCAGTCTGCTCCACACTCCCCACTAGCCCCACCACCCCTGGCACCTTTCCCAGCAACCACAGGAAGAGCTACACCCGCCCCTACACCTCCCTCCTCACCACCATCCAAGGCACCAAACAAACCTTTCACATCAGACAGAGGTTCACCTGCACATCCGTCAACTTGGTGTACTGTATCCGCTGCTCCCGATGTGGCCTCCTCTACATCGGTGAGACCAAGTATAGACTTGGAGATCGTTTTGTAGAGCATCTGCGCTCTGTACACAACAAATGATAACACCATTTTAACTCCCCCTCCCACTCCCTTGATGACATGTCTGTCTTGGGCCTCCTCCAATTTCACAACAACAACACCTGCAAACTGGGGGAGCAACACCTCATAGCCCACAGCCCGATGGCCGAAACATGGAATTCACCAGTTTTAAAATACCACCCCCCCCCCGGCCTCATTCAATGTCCAAACCTCCCTCTCATCCCCGCCTCCTTGACCTGATACAACCTGTCCATCTTCTCTCCCACCTATCTGCTCCACCCATACCACTGACCAATCCCCCCCCAACTCCCTACCTGCACTCACCTATCACCATCCCACCTACCTTCCCCAGCCCCACCCCTCCTCTCTATTTATTTCCCAGCTCCCTTCCCCCTCCCCCATTTCTGAAGAAGGGTCCCGACCTGAAACCTCAACTTACCTGCTCCTCCGATGCTGCCCGGCCTGCTGTGTTCCTCCAGTTCCACACTGTGTTAAAATAAATTAAATGTTGCCTTGGCTTTTGGTTAATGATAAAATGCAGGGATAGAGTCTGCAACGGTGGTACACCTTTGAGAGAAAAAGTTAAACAAAGTCAAGATCACTGAGAAGGTGAGGGAAAAGTTAAAAACAAAGACTTTGGCTCAGGCCCAGCATATCCTGTGGAGCTCACCACCACCCAGATGACTCATAGCAAACACAGGGGCATTAGTGAGAACACATGGGGAATCACTGTCTCTGGGTTTTGAAATGTACTTTCTGATCTGTTACAATCAATGAGATTGACGTCAAAAGGAATAAATTGAAGATATTTTGCATGGTCTAATTGTAAAATCAGTTGAGGCATCACTAGCAAGGTCAGTATTTACTGCCCAATCTTATGCCCCTGAGATGAAACTGAGGGTCTTCTTAGGCCATTTCAGAGGGTAACCAAGAGTCTGCCATTTTGCTGCATTCTAGAGATACACTTAGGGACAGACTAGGTAAAAGGTGACCTGAAACTATTAGTGAACCTCCTGCATCTTGTCCTTGTCAATTGACCATGCACAGGTACATTTGTCCATTACAGTATCAGTGGAAATGATCCCCTTTCTTCTTCACAAAGTTTTCCTATCTTTGCGAACAGTCTCCAGTCTGTTTGAGTCATTCCTCTATAATAGAACAAAGAATGGTGATAGAGATCTGAAACAAAAGCTGAAATTGCTTGTGAAACTCAGTAGGTGTGACAGCATATATGGAGAGAAAACAAAGTTAGCGTCTCCAAGTGCACTGGCTCCATCAGAACTGATAGCAAGGAAGAAGTGATATTTATGCTGAAGATGGGGTTGGGTGAGGGTAACGGTGGGGAAGAAATGAGTGGGTAGGTGGAGATGGAGCTCAGAGAGAGAGAGATATGAAAGGGATAATAAATGAGGGGTTTATTGATAGTTGGCCAGGACAGAAGAGATGCTGAATAAGTGATATTAAGAGCTGTGAGTAGGAATGTGTTGACTGTGTGCTGAAAGTGACCCATGTAATGACAGGACCAGGGTGTGGGGATAAGTTTTGGAAAAAAGAGGGATGCAATCAGGCTGTAACGTTATTGAACTTCACATTCAGTTCTAGACACTGCAGGTTTCCCCAAGAAGAAAATGAGATGCTACATCTTCATAGGGTCTTCTCTGGGTCACTGCACCTGAAGGATTAACTCTGCTTTCTCCCCACAGGTGCTGCCAGATCTGCTGGGTTGCACCAGCAATTTCTGTTTTTGGTTCATTCCTGTTGTGGGTGAGTGCAAAAATAGGGGCAACTGTTCACAAATTAAAGGTTGCCCTTCAAGCAGAGGGGTAGGAAGAAATTTCTTCTCTTAGACGATTGTGGCATCTTAACTCCACCTCAGCAGACGAAGGCAGTATCATTGAATAGTTTTAAGGCTGAGATAAATAAATTTTTGTGAGACAGGGGACCATCAGTTAGTGAGGGGGGAAATAGGATGGGAATGTGGAATTTGAAACACAGGTCAGCCATGATCCGAATGATTGGTTTAGAGGGCTCAAGAGGCTCAAGGCCTCATTCCTGCTTCGAGTCATACAGGACAGAAACAGACATTTTGATCCAACCATTCCATGTTGAACATTACCCCAAATTAAACTAGTCCCACCTGCCTGCTCCTGACCCATATCCCTCCAAACCTTTGCAATTCATGTACTTATACAAATGTCTTTTAAACGTAGCAACTGTGTCCACATCCACCACTTCCTCAGGACATTCATTCTACATGTGAACTACCCATGTGTAAAAAAAATGCCCCTCATGACTCGTTTAAACCTCTCTCCTTTCACCTTAAAAATATGCCCCCTCCTCTTGAAATAAGCCATCCTACACAAAAAACACCTACCATTAACCCTGTCTATACCCCTCATAATTATATTAACTTCTAAAAGGTCACCTCTCAATCTCCTAAGCTCCAGTGAAAAAACTCCCAGCCTGTCCAGCTTTTCTTTCTAACAAACCTTCAATACCCAGAAACATTCTAATTTTATGTTCATTGATAAAGAAACATTTGCAAAGGTACAGACCATGTTAGTAATCTAGTAATGAAGATCTGTGCTCCTGAACTAGCCCTAGTTAACTGTTCCTGTATGGTTACAACACTGGCATCTATATGAAGCTCCTGCTGCTTAAGACCACCTCTGCACAAGATCTGCTATCATGGTATGTCATGCTCATCTGTCTTGTACCATCCTCTCTTACTCAATGTTACTGATCTGTGACCACTCTGTGCCATCCATCATCTAACTCTACCAAAGATGGTCCATCTTTCTGTTTCCCTTATCTGAGGCCTGTTAGTTTTGATTAAATGGATAAAGTACTGACTTTTTTTTACAAGATATCACTTTTATTTCAGGGTTATTTTTGCTTTTGCATTTCAAGTACCTCCATGTGCCTTGTGGTCCGTGCATGAAATTTTTAAGCACACAGCTTAACATTTCAAGAGTCTCCCTCCCACAGATCTTTCCTTATTGTCTGGGTTTCTGATGCATACAGGGAAGTGGATAGCATCTTCTGAATTTTTCCCTTGATAGCAGCTGGATTTTTCAAGTTGTGAACACACCCTTCATCTTCATAAAATTATTTCTGGCTATCACTTTTAATGTTTGCATCACATCTTTAATATTCTGATATCCAAGTCTGCAGATGACACACAGCTAGGTGGAAAGGTGAACTGTGAGGAGGATGCAGAAATGCCTCAGAGCAATTTGGTCAAGTTGAGTCAGTGGGAAAATGCATTGCAGATTAAGTAAAAAGTGGATCAATGAGAGATTATCCACATTGGAAGCAAAAACAGGAAGCTAGATCATTGTTGGAGTGGCCAAAGATTGGGAAAAGAGGTAGGTGCAACGAGACCTGGGTTTCCTCGTACAACCAGTCGCTGAAAATTAGTGTCAGCGCAGCAGGCAGTAATGAATGTAAATGGTATGCTGGTCTTCATAGCGAGAGGATTCGAGTACAGGAGCAGAGATGTCTTGCCGTAATTATACAGGGCTGTGGTGAGACCACACATGGAGTACTGTGTGCAGTTTTAGTCTCCTTGAGGAAGGATGTCCTGGAAGGAATGCAACAAAGGTTTACCAGATTCAATTGTGGGATGGCAGGACTGATGTATGAAGAGAAACTGGATCGGTTACAACTATATTCACTGGAGTTTAGAAAGCTGAGGGGGGAGTTTCATAGAAACTTATGAAATTCTGACGGGGCTAGACAAGGTAAACACAGGAAAGTTGTTCACGGGGAGTCCAGGACTAGGCGTGTCATAGTCTAAGGAGACAGGGTAGGACTGAGATGAGGAGAATTGTCTGCACACAAAGAGAGTGATGAATCTGTGGAATTCACTGCCACAGAAAGCGATTGAACCAAAACATGGAATGTTTTCAAGAAGGACATAGATATAATAAAACTAAGAACTGCGGATGTTAGAAATCTGAAACAAAAACTGAAATTGCTGGAGAAACTCAGCAGGTCTGGCTGCATTTGTGGAGAGAAAGCAGAGGTAATGTTTCAAGTCCAGTGACTGTTCATCAGAATGGTTAGTAAGTAGGAAAAAGTGGTGTTTATGCTGAAGTCTAAGTGGGGAGGGAGGTGGAGCAGAGCCCCAGAGCGCACGTGTGTGTGCGCACAAGAGAGAGATTTGAAAGATAGAGAGTGCAGGCGAGAGTGAGATTTGAAAGATAAAGAGTGTACGTGAGCAAGTGAGAGAGAGATTTGAAAGGGGCAGTAAACCATGAGACTATGGACAGCAAGAGAGGTTGGAAGAAAAGCTCAATTAGTTACAGCAAGAGTTAAGAGTGAGAAAATAGCTTGGTTGTGCTGAATGCAACCCATATAATGTGATAATGGGCCAAGGAGTACATGGGAATGTATGACTGTGTGAAAAGCAACCCATGTCATAACAGGGGCTGGGTGTGGGGCAGATAAAAAAACATGGAAGGAGGAATTCAGGCTCTAAAGTTACTGAACTTGATGTGGAGTCCGAGAGCACAAGCTCAACGAACAACAGCTCATTTTCCGCTTGGGGACCCTGCAGCCTCGAGCACTAGAAAATGCAGTACAGAAGAGGCCCTTCAGCCCATCAAGTCTGAACTCCAAAAGATACTATGATCAAAACTAGTTCCAATGATACTTCAAGTGCACACCCAAACACTTTTTAAAGATTGAGAGGTTTCCTCTCACAACTATCTTCCGGGCAGTGCATTCCAACCCCTCATCTGGTGAAAAGACTTTTCCTCAAATCCCATCTAAATCTCCTGTCTTTCACTCACTCTCTTGCTGTCTGCTTCACTCAACGTCTCTCTGCTTGAGTCGGTGTCCTCCTTGTCTGACTCTCAAACTCTCTACTTCATTTGGCGAATGGCTGTCTCACAGTTCATTGAGTGTGGTATTAAGGAGCCTGACCAAAACTGGAGATTCAATCACTCATCTCCTTCCGTCACATAGAAAATTTGCCTCTGATAGCCATAAGGAGAATGTGTTTGGGCCCCCCACCTCCATAGGCAGACCCGACACTGATGGCACACTTCAGGTGGAAATGCAGCTGGGTACAAAGACTGACTCCGCTGTCCAAAATATTGAGGTCGCTACCAGTTGTGAATTGAAAATCTGAGCCTGTCTCTGGGCCACGACTCCAGGGCTCTGTGTTCCTCGTCAGTCACAGTAATTCCAATATGACCAAGCCATACACAGGATAAAGGGGTGATCGAATCAAAGCGGTTAATGATTAAAAGGAGTTTCTGGGGTTGATTTAAGAGAAACTTTTTCTAGTGATGGTGGGTAGAGAACAGAACAATGGGACAGAACCTGAAAACTTGAGACAGACTGTTCAGGAATGAAATCTGGAAGTATATCTTCTCAGAAAGCAGAGTGGAAATCTGGAAAACCCACTACCTAAAAGCTATTGATGTGGAGGTGCCGGTGTTGGACTGGGGTGGACAAGGTCAGAAATCACACGACACCAGGTTATAGTCCAACAGGTTATTGAAAGCTATTGAAGCAGGAAATCCAGTTAAAATTTCAAAAACTGAGACTGATAGACCCCATGCACAACAAAGACCTAAGGGTTACAAGATAAAAAATATGGATAGGGAAAGGGCTGAATAGCCCCTTCCTGTTCCGATAACAGTCTTGAGAAGGAGCTGAATGGGCCTCTTCCTGTTCCTTGGTGACAGGCTGAGGGATTGAATGGCCTCCAGCTATTCCTGTGTCACAGGCTCAATAAAAAGCTGAATCACCTCCTCCTATTCCTGTGTAACAAATTTAAGGGGCTAAATGGCCTCCTCCTGTTATCTCTCTGTTCTTTCCTATAATGCCTGCACTATTTACAAGTTCTTCTCCCACAGCCAAACTACAGTGGAACGTCTGTGCATTATTCATCCTTATAAATCACTGTTTTTCAGGATGTTACAGTCTGTCATTCTCCAGCAATAACTGCTGAAACTGAGCCATGCTTCGTACACCACGCAGGAAATCCAAGACACCTTTACCACTGGGAAAGGAGAGCATCCGTCCCTTTCTAAAGGTTGGTGAGCTACTGCCAGCTGAGAGAATAATGTTATGGCAATAATTGTCTAAAATGATCCGTGATTGGATTCTGCATATTTCTGGATATATATTCAAGGAAGATAGAAAAGGAAAGAACTGGAGGGTTGGCCAGATAAATTAAGGGGAATACTACGGGGATGGAGAAATGGATGCCCGGAAGAGATCAAGGACAGAATCTATCTGAGGAAACAATTGAGGTATCATGAGACTGCTGGGTGTCTAAAAACCCTCCTCTACAAAAAGAAGTGGAAGCAACGTCTTTGAATATTTTGAAGGCAGAAGCAGACAGATTATTAATAAGCAAGGGGGTGAAAGGGCATTGGGGCAAGGTGGGAAAGTGAAGTAATCAGATCAACCACGAGCTGATCCACTCATGAGGAAAGGTCAGGGGGCTTGTGGACAATTTCTGCTCCTATTTCAAATGTTTGCATTCAGTGAGCCATCAACAAGAGGGATCTGTAGGGAAATTACAAACGCTATAGATGAGTTAAAATAGCAGTCATCAAAACTATCCTAATTTATAGCAAATCCATGAATCCTGTACAGTCAACTTGGGAAAGTTGTGTTTGGGTGGAGGTGGCCCTGAGGATTTCCACTTTCTTATCATGTCAGAGATGCACTTTGTCCTAGTGAAAATCTGGGCCTTGATTTTATACATAGGATCTCTCTCATTGATCAGAAGTCAGCTACAGTATACAAGGAATATCTAAATTAGAGCCCTCTAAATCCTCTGTTTCACGTGGAGTCATGAGATGTAAATTCAGACTGCTGTATTCCTAGTTCAGTAACATAGCCATTACATAGCAAATCCCGAATACAAAATTAACAGTGACCTGGTCAAGGTGTTTAAGATACTTCAAGGACTTCACAGTTTCTCCCTATCAACCCAATTTGCTTACACGGGGAGTTACGAGACAAATAGGGGAGATTCTTGAAATTAGAGCCAGGCAACTTGGAATTGATGTCAGGAACCACTTCATTCCACAAAGAGCAGAAGAAATCTGAAACTCTCTCCCTAAAGCAAAACTGCTCAGTTTGGGGGTCAGTTGAAAGTGTCGAAAAAGAGGTTGAAGAAGTTTTATTGGCCAATGATTTTAAAATATACCAAAGGAAGTCAGGTACTTGGAGGTAAAATCAATAGCAGCTATAATTCAATCAAATGGAAAGGCAGGTTGTCTGGCCTCCACTTGTTCCTGTGCAACAGGCTGGAGAAGGGGCTGAATGGCCTCCACCTGTTCCTGTGCAACAGGCTGGAGAAGGGGCTGGAATAGCCTCCTCCTGTTCCCTGTGTAATAGGTTGGAGAAGGGGCTGAATGGCCTCCTCCTGTTCCCTGTGTAACAGGTTGGAGAAGGGGCTGAATGGCCTCCTCCTGTTCCCTGTGTAACAGGTTGGAGAAGGGGCTGAATGGCCGCCTCCTGTTCCCTGTGTAACAGGTTGGAGAAGGGGCTGAATGGCCTCAATGTATTTGTGTATAACATTCCTATTTTCATTGGATTTTATGATTGCTCTCCACTCCAGGGGAATGATGAAAATCCACCAACCACTGCAGTTTTGGACAAAAGGCCTCATCCTGAGAGAAGGAGACCTCTCACTGAATGGAATCGCTCAACCAGCACAGGTAAAGTGCCAGCAGTAGCCCCGGGCAAGGTTACAGTGAACAGTGACGAAGACAGAGTCAAAGAATTCACATTCAACTTACAGAGTAATGGCATCGAGCATGTGGCAAAAGGGAAACCCAATGAAAGTGTTTATTCCGTTCTCATGTCTTCTGTCGTTTTCAAGAAAGAACAAGAGAAAAGTGAGGGCAAGACATTCCATTTAATCGGGAAAAGGGGATTAATGGGTGCCATCAATCTAGGAATGCCGTGTAAATGTCTGCCAGAGAAGACCCATTTCGAAGTGATATTTTACCGGGTTAAAGGTGAGTTATGCTATCGGGATGAGGACTCTTCAGGCAAGCAGTGTGTTGTATTCCATGTCAAGAGCACTGGAAAGACGGGAGGCGATCTTCATACAGGTTCAAAACTTATCAGCAAGTGTGGGTCCCTGCGAAAAGACGGACATGACATGTGCGTTTATGCTTTTGAAGGTGAGACCATTCGAGAGGCTCTGTGCAAGGACGGGAGGTTCTTGCCCATCATTAAGCAGAATGTATGGAGCCTGGTCGAAGGGCACAGATGTCTGCAGTTCACCCTCACTGTCAATGACCTCCGTGATAAATGTTTTGAAGTTCAAGTGAGCAATGAAAAGTATAAGGCAGGAAACAAGAATGATGATAATAATGACAATGCTAGCCCCAGGGAGAGACAGGAGCAGGACAGTGTGCCAGGAGAAGGGAATATGCTGCATTGTGAGCTGAGAAAGCAGGTTGATGAACGTTTGGGAAAGAAAAAAGGCAAGAAGCATTTCCGTAAAGAATGGAATCTGCTCAAGAAAGAATTTGGAAAGATCACAGCTGATGGAGTTCCCATTACAGTCCATGAAATGCTAGTGCGATTGAGTGAGTCTGTTGGATTTGTCCAATGGGATAACAATGGGAATCAAGGGACTGCCTCTTGCTTCTACCTTGGTAATAGTTACATTCTGACATGTTTCCACGTGGTGAAGATGATGGTAGGAGATGGTGTGCCTGACAATGAGTGGAAGACCATTATAGAGAAGGCCATGACAATAAACTTCAGCTACAAAGAGAAGCAGCAGCCTGTCAATGGCTGGTATAACATTGAACCGTGGTTTGAAGTGTCTAACTCAGAACTTGACTACGCAGTGCTGAGATTGAAGATCCCCAACGGTCAGCCATCTGTTCTACCTTCAGGTTTGTGGCAAACTAAAAACTGCCCTCCTTGGAATGGAATGGTCTACATTATAGGTCATCCTGATGGTGTTTGCAAATCCTCTGACACTTGTTTCGTTATCCCTATTCAACAGCGAAATATTCAATACTACATGCAGGTTTTCAGGAGATACACTTTCACAGAAATCCAAAGTTCAGACAGGATCACCTACAACAGCTGCTTTTTTAATGGTGCCTCCGGATCCCCTGTGTTCAATTCCTCTGGTGAGCTGGTGGGAATGCATGCTGCAGGATATGAATATAAAACTGGCACTCAGAGAAACAGCGTGATCGAATATGGTCCAACCATTAAAGCCATCACAGATCACATGAAGATTCATCATCCAGGATTCGATTTCACTGGTCAAGTTCATACCCAGGATGACCAGAACATCCCGTTCAATGATGAAGCAGACATTCCAATGGATGTTGAGTAAAAGGAAGAGAAGCAGATAATCCAATAAACCCTTAAAGCCTGCTCTGCCATTCAATATGATCATGGTTGATCATCCAGTTTTGTATCCTGTTCCCTGCATTGTCCCCATACTCTTTGATCCCTTTTATCCAAAGAGCTATGTCTAACTCCTTCTTTAACACATTTGATGTTTTTACCTCGTTTGCTTCTGTGACAGAGAATTTCACAAGCTCACCACTCTCTGGGTGAGCAAATTTCACTTTATCACTCTCCTAAATGGCCTACCTCATATCCTTAGCTGTGACTCTTTTTTCTGGGCTCCACAGTCACTGGGAACATCCTGCCTGAATTTACCCTGTCTTGCCTTGTTAGAATTTTATAGATTTCTGTGAAACTCCTGCCTAATTCTTCTAAATTCCAGTGAATAAAGTCCAATCCAGTCTCTCTTCATACGTATGTCATGTCATCCCTGGAATTAGTCTGATAAAAATTCTCTGTCTGCTTTCCAAACAATGTCCCTCTTTGTTTCTTTTTGTTCGTTGGCCCTTCTATTTTAATGTGCTGCTTGATCATAGCTCTCTGACCAAGCTTACGGTCACCCACAGTCAAAACAGGAAGCTATTTAGCCCATCGAGACCATGTCAGCAATCTGCAGGGCAATCCAGACATCCTCTTCCCCCTCTTCCATCCATGTAGATCTGAAAGTTTATTTTCCTCAAGTGCTTTTCCAACATTCTTTTTAAAATCGCTGATCACTTCCACCTCTACTGACCTCACAAACTGCAGATACCAGGTCAGTAAAAAAAGACAAAGTCAAAGTTTCCATAGCCCCCAAGGACCATAGGCTGCTCGCTCAATTAAAGACAGATGACTGGTAGTGATTTAACCAGGTCACTATCAGTCACTTGTTCAACACTCAAACAAAGTCTTCACCTACTCCCTACATCTTGATTCCATAACCTTATTGTTGTTAGGAGAAATATCAGAGGAGTTTTAACTCCTGTGTGCCTTAGCACAAGCGATCTTCGTTCAGAGTTCTGTTACTACTTATGTGGGAGAGGCCAGGGACCACTCTAAATCTGGCTTTCACGTGGGGCACAGTTCCTTTCTTAATTACAGCTCAGATGCCGGAGGGTCAATGGCATTCTGAAATCCCCAGTGAAATACAACATCTTTAGACCTTTCGCATTGCAATAATTACATGCAACATTTTGGTCATTGTTAGCCACATCTACCTGATCTATACATTCAATCCAGTGAACACACGATCAGTGACAGAAAACTCTATGGACAGCCCTAGATCCTCCCATAATCACATGATGCCTACCAGCTACCTCCATCATCTGTCTTTGGGGTCTTAGAATGCTTCTGACAGTTATAGTCCTTCCCAGACATTTGTCAGCTGCACCACATTATTTACCACTACTCCAAAGTGTTGTTTTCCAGTAAAACTCTTCCAAATTTCGTACTAACTTTAGTATGGCAGGTTAGAAAGGATAGTACTTTCTACCAATTGTTATAAAGTCTTTAAAGTCAATTCTAATTAAAGTTACTGTGACACAGCTGACAAGTTGAGAACAACCCCTCTCTCACTTCAGCCTGAGAAATCAAACAGTGGTCCTTCTGACTTGCAACTGGAGTTCATGGCCCCTGCTATTTACATCCTGTAAGTGGATTTTAAACTAAAGTTTAATTTTTAAGTAAATCTTTACTGTTTCCACTCTGAACACTTTCCAATACTAATTATCTTTTCTTAATAAAATATGTATATTTGGATTCCACTGATGAAGGTGAAATTCAGCCACGTTACAACTTTACCAAGCCATTAAACGAAACTTGTTTAGATTCCACAAACAATCATGCCTTCACTCTGTATTTTGTAATCTGTCTTTGTCACTCTTCCTTTGATCTTTGGATGTAAGAATTTGTTCGAATTATCTACATTTGCACTTAAGTTTCAATTGTTTATCTCTCCCCATCATGACCTCTATTTTTACAACCTTTCCAGTGCCTTCCTCCTGTTGCAATGGTTTGGTTGGAGGTCTTCTTTACACCATTTATTACTTTATCTTCCCTAATAATGCATTGGGCCCCTTTATTGCTTGGAAACATTTGCTCAAGGCGGCAACTAACCTTTTCACTAATTTGTTGTTTGCCTTTCTAATTCTACAATTATCTAAACAGTTCAGAATACTGTACGATCAGACTTTTTCTATATTTTACAAAATAATAAACTTGGGACTGTGGCTCAAGTAGGCCTTACAAAAATGCCCCTGATTAAAATGCTTATAGCATAGTACAGAATAGCCTTTATTGTCATGTGCACTCAAATGAGTGCAGTGAAAAGTTTGTAATGTCACCACTTTAGGTACTGGGTACCTAGGTTATATGTTCAGAATTGCTTGTTTACAGAAATCTGATTAACTTCTGTAACGTTTCTTCCTACGGAGAATTTCATCTTATCCAGTATGTCTATATAGAGACTACTAGTCTAGCTGTGAACATCTGCTGTATGTAACTGTCAGACTCTTTTGGCCATCTTGTGTTCACTGAAAAAGCCCAAGCGGCCATCTTATTAACTTTAGTCCTGGGCTGCTACAAAACTTATTATGTCCCCTAATGAACAGCTTTTCTTTGTCAAATTTTTCTAAACCTGTCAGAATCTGACTTCTATCAGATAGCCCCTCAAGTTCACTTCAGGGGCTAGGAATAGTGCAGCAAGTAACTCACTGTCTAACTGCCTAGAGCCTGTCCACCATCACAAGGCACAAGTCAGGAATGTGATGGAATACTCCCCACTTGCCTGGATTAGTGTAACTCAACAACATGAAAGAAGCAGCAAGGACAAAAGTGCCTGTCTGATTAGCACCACATCCATAAACACTCACTCCCTCCACCACTAACACTCAGTAGCAACAGTGTGTACCATCTACAAGATGACCTGCAGAAATTTAACAAGGCTCCTTAACAGCTTCCAAACCCACAACCAAAGACCCACAACCCACAACAAGCAAAACTAAAGAACTGATCATGACTTCAGAAAAAAAGGAGTAGAACATGCTTCCATCTACATTAATGGAACTGAGGTTGAGAGGGTGGAGAGCATCAAGTTCCTCAGAATGACGATAACCAACAACCCATCCTGGACTTCCCATGTAGATGTGACGGTCAAGAAGGGACAAAACACCTCTTCTCCCTCAGGTGGCTCAGGGAACTTGGCATGTCCATAAGGACCGCAACCAACTTCTACAGATGCACCGTAGAAAGCATATCATCCGGGTGCATAACAGCCTGATATGGCAACTGCTCTGCCCAGGATTGTAAGAAACTACAGAAGGTGGCATGCACAGTCCAGACCATCATGGAAGCCAACCTACCATTCATGGACTCCATTTATATGGCTCGCTGCAACAGAAAGGCTGCCAACATCATCAAAGACTCTTCGCACCTCGGTAATGATCTACAACCTCTTCCATCGGGCAGAAGACACAGAAGCCTGAACACACACACACCAAAAGTTTCAGGAACTGCTTCTTCCCAGCCGTTATTAGACTGATTAATGGACTCTCTCGTCTCAAATAATGCTGATTCTGCTAATGTTGATCTCGCCTAGTGCACGCCCTGTGCAATGTAACCTGTTTGCCTCTGTCTGAGTTTTTTTGATCTGTACATTCTTGCTTGCTATGATCAGCCTGTACTGCTCGTAAACAAAGCTTTTCACTGTACTTCGGTACACGTGACAATAAATCAATCAATTCCATCTAGAAGGACAATGGCAGCAGATATGCGGGAATAACAGGCCTGGCAAGTTCCCCTACAAGATACTCACCATCCTGACGTGGAACTATATCGCTGTTCCTTCAGTGTCACAATCCTGGAATTCTGTCCCTGATGGCATTGTGGGTCAACTCACAGCATGTGGACTGCAGCGGTTCAAAAAGGCAGCTTACTACCACCTTTTGAAGGAATGGACCATAGGCACCCACATCCTGAGTGAATAAAAACTTGTTTCAAGGAGAACTGCCTCAGTTTTTCCAACCTGAGCTTGCAGTAAAGTGTACCATAAGTACCGGAAATAACATGCGTGCAACAAATCCTGCTGATCCTCTTAAGGTTTACCTTCCTAACATCTGGGGGATTGTCCAAAATTTGGATTCATTCATTATCACTGGGTCAAAATCCTGAAATTTCACTCCCTAACAGCACAGAGGGTGTACCTATACCAGTTCAACGGCAATGGTTCAAGAGGGCAGCTAGCCATCACATTCAAGGACAATCAGAGACGAATAACAAATCCTGACCTTGTCAGTGACACCTATGTCCCCTGAAAAAATGTTTTGAAAAGATATGCTTTACTAAGTAGTTGTTCTCTTTCCTTGCCAATTTCAAAGAATGTTCTAGAAATGACCCTTTACATCCAAATCATATATAAAGCATCCCTGAGAAAGAAGACTTTCTGTCATCATGCAGTCTGCAAAACAAATGTTTACCATCACCCACTGTCTTCTGTTTTTAAACCAACCTTCATCCAAGCTGACATTGAACTTCCTAATCCATGAGCCGTGATCTTAATGAACCTGTGAAGTGGTATCTTTTGGAAAAAACTTTCATGAAATCCATAGAGATAGCATCCACCACATTTCCTTCACTAACCCCTGTTATTTCATCAAAAAAAAAATCAGATTAATTAAACGTGTCCTACTTTTTACAAATTCATGCCTATTATTCAAACCTCATCAAATCCCCATTTCTAAAAACATTACCTGGTGCTGATGTTAAACCGGCTGGCCTATAGCGAACTATGAATGGTCATTCTTGATTAACTGTAGCACATTTTGCAATTTCCAACCCTCTGGAATTGCCCTGTGTCCCCACTCTGACTTCCTTTACCAACTTGGGACTTCCAACGACTTACCCGCCACCAAAGTCAGACTCATGTCTATAGCTCCCAGACCTCTCCTTACATCCCTTCTTAAACATTAACCGCTCTCCATTCATCTGGCACCTGTCCCGCAGTTACAGATGATACAAATATTTCTGCAAGGGGCCACAATTTCCTGCCTAACTTTCCACAAAATGTGGGGATACACTAGATCAGGTCCCAGAGATTTATTCACCTTTATGTTTTCTAAGACCTCCAGCACTTCCTTCTTCTGTGATGTGAACTGTTTTTAAAACATCAGAATTTATTTCCGAGTTCTCTAGCTTCCATTTCTTTCTCCACAGTAAAAACTGATGAAAAATATCCATTTCACTCTCTCCCATCTCTTGAGGTTCAATATGAAGACAACCTCTTTGATCTTTAAGGGGCCTTACTCTGTTTAGTTGCTCCCTTGCTCTGAGTGTACCTGTTGAATCACTTCGCATTATCCTTAACCTAATTTGCCAAGGCTATTTCATATCCTCTCTTTGCCTTCCTGATCTCCTTTTTAAGAATATGCCCACACTCTTTACATTTTTCAAGTGATTAATTTGAACCCAGTTGTCTATATCTAACATATGATTCTTTTTTATTCTTGACTAGAACTTCAATATTTTTATTTATCCTTTGTTCTCTAATCCTAGCAGTCATTCCTTTCACTCTAACAGGAACACAATGCCTCTGATCTCTCATTATCACAGTTTTGAAAGTCTCACACTTATCAGATTGTGAACAGCCTACTCCAATCAACTTTTGAAAGTTCTTGTCTTGTACCATTAAAATTTGCCGTATTCCAATTAAAAACTTTAATTTTCATGGAAGTCTTATCTTTTTTCATAACTGTTTTAAAACAAATGGAATTATGATCACTAGACCCAAAGTGTTCTCCTACTGTCACTCCAGTCACTTGCCCAGTCATATTACCCAAGAGGTCACGTTTTGCTCCTTCTGTAGTAGGAACATTTAAATATTGATAAAGAAAATTTTCTTGAACACATTTAACAAATTCTTAACCATCCAAACCTTTAACACTTTGGTAGTCTCAGTCAACATTTGGAAAATTAAAATCACCTACTATTACAACCCATTATTCTTACATAAATCTGATATCTCTCTATGTATTTGTTCCTCAATTTCCTTCTGACTGTTGGAGGTCTATAGTACAATCCCATCAAGGTGATCATTCCTTTTTTATTTCTAATTTCAACCCAAATATTTTCACTGGACAATTTTTCAGAAATATCTTTGTTACAGCAGTAATGTCTTCCTTAACCAAAAAAGCCACTTGCCCTTCTCTTTTGCCTCTTTCTATCCTTCGTATAGCACCTGAAGCCCAGAACATTGAGCTGCCAGTCCTGTCCATACCTCAGTCAACTTTCTGTAATAGCTATGACATCCCAATCCCATGTTTCCAATCATACCCTGAATTCATCAGCCTTACCCATAAGACTCCTTGCATTGAAATAAATGCAATTTAATCCTTTAGTTAGTTCATTCTCTGACTTTCTCTTGTCAGTCTTTCCTGATAAACTTCTTCTTTGCAGATTCAATACCATCCTCATCTATCTTTCTGTTTACTCTGCTACTTAGGTCCATCCACACCGTGCCTCCTCTTTCTGACAGTTTAGTCTCCCTTACTAAAATTAGTAAATCTTCCCACGAGGATATCGGTCCCTTTCCAAAACAAGTGAAACCCATCCTTTTTGAACAAGTCTTCACAATCCCAGATGAGATCCCAAAGATACAAGAACCTGAATCCCTGAACATTACACCGTCTCTTCACCCATTGATTTATCTCCTTTGCCTTTTTATACTTTTCCTCATTTAATCTTGGCACCGGGGGTAAACCAGAGATTACGATTTTTTTTAAGTTACGGTGTAGTGATTGGAATCAGCTGGATCTTGTTGACTCTGAGGTTGTTGATTGGGATTGTTAACCTGGGCCAATCAGGAAAGCCCTGGCTGACCAATATAAGGGAGATTTAGACTCCCCTCAGTTCAGGTGACTGACTGTGACCTGGCTGCTTATAGCCAGTGTACTGTGTACAAGTGGTTACAGGGTTACAGGGTTACAGGGTTACAGGGTTACAGGGTTACA